TTGCTTAAACCAAGCTCAGTCAGTATACAGTCCTGAATTAGACTTTCATTTTCACAGGTAGGCTTTTAAGTGCAAGATTTCAAACCTGCCTAAACCAGTCAGAAAGGTTACAGCTTCCTGGTGCAGAGTGTGCCTACTCCTACTTTGAATTAATCCAAGCTGCTACAGGTCTTACACTACAGCCTTCCACTGCAGAAGGGCTCAAACCCATGTTTTTCATAGCCCAGCCAAGGTGAATTTGCTCTCTGAGAGGAGAGGTTTGACCATCACATGAGGAGACAGATGAATGACATGCTGGACTAGGAACACAGAGAGAACTGTATCATTTTTCTAGCCCCAGTATATCCATCTCTAACAGTGACCAACAGCAGCTGCACAAGGGAAAGCACAAGAAAAGGGCAAGCATGAAGCAATACTTCCCTCAAATATTCTCCCAGCCTCTAGAAATCTGTAACTTAAGGATTTTGAGCTTGTGGAATGGTCTTTGTAATTATTAGCCTTTAATTTGCTTCCAACCCTGCCCCAATGAGTTTCTTCCAATCCTTTCATACCATACCCCATGGCAAAGTTATACCTCAGTTAAACTGTGCGGTTGTTTTTTTTTTTTTTTTTTTTTTTGGGGGGGGGGGGGAAGTGGAAGACAGGGACAACACAGCGACAATCCTGCTTTCATTTGTTTCTTCCAGATGTTCTGACTTCCCACAATAACTCTTTGAGATGCTTTACAATTACCTGTTTAAGGTTCACATATATAATTAATTCAGCTTTACGAAATAAGACACATTAAGAATTTCCTGCCTATTCTATAGTCTGATTCAACAAATTTTGAACTACTCTTCTAGAATAAGAGCAATAAGATAAAGAGCTCCATGATCATATCTGAGACACATATGCTCAGCACTACAGGAAAGACTTGTAGTTCAAGTGTGTCACAGCACAGAAAGATCTTTGCAAGAAGAAAAAGTTAGAAAGATATGGAAGAACTATTGATAAATAACGATCTTAACTTCTATTTAGTTGTTCACTTCTGTCGTGGTGAGCCAAGACATATAAGCCTACATTACTTTAATACGACATACTAAAAACATAGTAGTTTTAGGCCCACTAAACGAGTATTCCTGAGTAGGAGCATGACACTTGTGATCTACGTTTCTTAATGGTTTCCAGGGAGAACTTAATGTGTTTGCTTAAGATCTCCAAAAACCTACCATAGCTTCAAACCATTCTGACAGAAATCTCAGTGCTGAAATGGTGAGTCACTGGAAGCACTAGATTCCTCTCCACTGTTAACATAATAAAGTCTTTTAAAGGAGTTTCTACTGCAAAAGTTCTCTCTCTTTTGGATTCCAGTGATCTGAAGCTGGTGTCTTTGAAGGCATGCTGCAGGATGCTTGATTGAGCCAGAATTTTCAAAAAGAGGGCCATTAGAGAGGCCAATGAGTAACAACGGCAATTCTGTTGTGATTAGTTATTTCTGGTGGTGGGGAACAGCTGTTGCCTGAACTGCTGAAAGACTACACATAGCTATCATTAGCAACAACTAAAGCTTTAAAGTGGTATTCTGGAAACTCACAGGTAGTTATACTTAAGGTTGTAGTATTTGACAACTGAACAGTAACACTCCATTATTCAATACTCTGAAAAAATGGGCATAAAGGAACTATTTCAGGATGACTTTGTAATTTGTCCTTTTCTTGTTCTTCCCTTTTTTAAATTTATATGGTTTAGCTGAACTACTGTCCCCATGCTTCAATACCGGCAGATGCCTTTTTATCAACACTGTAAAAGTCTGCCCAAGTTGGGCTAATTTTAACTCATTAATTTAACTCTCAGTAAAAATTCTGACTAGTTTAGGTTATCTTGTTAAAAAAATTATACCATATATACTAAATTTTGCCTGCACTGATGCGGAAGCCAAGTCTACAGAACTGAAAACTTCCTTTGGAAATGAGCTGTCTTCTAAATCCGATCACAGTGTTAGGACTGGCACCATGGATGTTTGTTCTGTGCTACGACTCTCCTGACTGCAACTCAAAAATTAACGTAAGACGGAACAAGCATAAACAGAGACCTGAAAACAGGAACAGGAATAAGAAATAAAACAGACAGCAGACAGAACGAGTGAGAACAGAAGTAGCCACAGAAAGGCTACAACCAACCATTACAATTTACAGCTAGCTCTAACATAAAATTTTAACATTCAGGTCATCACTCCCCATAGTCTTTTTTTAAAGTATGCACTAAAATCCTCAACAGATATGTATTGTCTGTATCCCCTCCTCCTGCCTTCCAGTGGTAGGCCCATAAAAATGATGCAGAAGGGATGAGACTTAAAGGTCAAGTCAAAAAAGTTTGACTGTAAGGTCCAGAGTAAGACTGAGAAGGACAAAGCACAAAGTTATCACACAGCGAATAGCAGTGAAAACTTTACATCTCTCAACTGCAATTTTTCAGTTTTTTTTTTAAACCAGTTTTTAAAAAAGCATGAAAAATATAAGTTGACCATAAAACTGAGAAACAGCGCGCTGAGTACTAAGTCTCTTACCGGCAAAACTGCAGTGTGCCACTTCTGCCTTGAAGTGTCTTGACTCCTTTCTATTAAAACAGGTATCTTTATGGAAAGATACAGCCTGCATGACTCCATTTTCTAGTCCTCTTTTATAACTGACCCTTTCAAACGTGTTCAAGTGTTTAGCTATCATCTTTCCTCCTTTACACTCTGTCAGCACCAAATTCAACTGACAGGCTTTGACCATCACCTTTATACTAGCATAACGATCAAATGAATCTCTCTGCTCCAAACTTGTATTTGTCTCCACACAAACCAAAACTCTCAGTTTTTTCTTTTCCATACTCTCTTGCTGATGTGCAGCCAGCTTAAACTCAGTGCAATGCAAAAACAAGCTCCTCATACACTGCCTCCATCAAAACTCTTACAAACAATTACTCTTACAGTCCTCAGCATTATCTGACTCATAATCTGCATATGCTTGTGGAGTAAACTATCTTCCTATATTTAAATATTGATCTCAAGTTTGAATACTTTGTTTTCATCCTATACACACAGCAAGATCTTTCCTTGCTGTTGATATTATCAAAATTTCTACCCACCCTCATTTATTTCACCCACATATATGCTTCTGCCAAAACAAGAGTACGCAAAAAAAACCCTGCAAGATTAGGGGGGAAAAGTAACTAACTTTAAAATCTTACTTAGAGAAACATGGGAAGGTAGATAAAACACACACACCACAAAAAAACAAACAAACAAAAAAAACCCCACACCAAACCACCACAAAAAAAACCCAACCAAAAAACCATCCCACCAAAACCCACACCAGGCAGATTAGATGATAAATCCTGCCCAAACACTGTTCTAAAACAAAAACAAACGTACATGTAGGTAACATTATGCTGCCCCACAATAACGAGTCATACAAAGCATTATTATTGCTTGACAAGAAAGCATACAACATTAAGTAACCACCTTCCTCTATGCTCTTCCAACTTCTCTGCTGGAGTTAGGAATACACAATCAGTTTTTAAAAACGTGGAAAGAAGTCATCACACATGGCGTTCCATCAATTTCTATTCTGCACTGTTGTGTACCTATACTTCTTCAACATTAAATAGCAAAAAGGCTCTGCTTATAAAACAGCAGAAACTCACCAAGTCCAAATTCAGCACACTTTGTCAGATACCCTTCAGATGTTTTATTTTTGTTCAGAAAAATGGTGAGCTTGCTTTCCTTCATCTCAAAGCGGGTTCAGAGCACTGTATACCTGGGAGAGTGAGAGGGAAACCCTATATCAAAAGGAAAAAAGCTAAACCTATTTTACTAAAGCAAAGCAAATCTAGAGAAATTTCAATATTTCTCACCACATGTAGACTACAAAATATAAATTTAATGTAATAATATTTTTTTTTTATTAAGAGACCCACCACTATAGACATCTGCCTAACAGATATAATTCGTGGCTCCGACAGTGTGAAAAGCAAAGTCCTATAAAACCTTAGTGATTGCTAGCTTAAAACGCAAAGAACTTCACCATGCAAAGTTTAAATATTTGAATTCTTTTGCATACGCTGAACTCCAAGTCAATACAATTTGCAACGTATACAGCACTGCTCTTCCAACATACACATACAGCAATAAGAAAATCATTCTATTTGGCTGACACCAATGGATAAAAAATTCCAATTTTTATTAACAGATTGCCTGACACCAGTTAAATGTAACATTGAGAAATAAACTTGATCATCTTCAAAATTAGCCTCATGAGAGGGTTTTAACTATAAATATTCCCTCCTAAATCTTTCAGTAACTTGTGAATATAGCTATCATTGTTTCCTACAAATGAACAAAAGCCTTGAAAAAGTAAACCAAGTTCTAATTTAATAAGATATATTTCATTTCCACTGGCTATGAGTGAACACAGAACGAGGGGTACAAAGCCAATAGGGAATACTAAAGTGAAACGGCAATTAGATACATTAAAGATTCAATATTGTTCCCTCTGAAATTGATAGTACTGTTATCAGTGACACAAATGGGCAGCATTGGGCTGTCAGAACAAAGAATGGACAAAACAAGGCTACCTTCACATGCATTACTTGTAGTAATTTAAGTAGTCAGGAAGGCAAGTGGGAGAATGCCTGAAGTAGACACCACTATAACACACCTATGAATGGAGCACAGAAGAAGAACTAGAAACACTATTCACAAAATTAAAGAAAAGAATCTCAGAACTGGAATAAAACTGTTATCATTTTACTGCGCACATACAAAAAGATCATAAAAAGAGAACTGAGGAACTATTGACCTATCAGGCTCCTGCAGCCAATCTACAAAGTTTTCACTCAAGTACTGAACAATTGACTCACTGCAGACCTGTATTTCACCCAATCCATAGAATATGCAGACCTTCAATCAGGCTTTTCCACAAAAGGCTACCCTTTGTGATAAATGAACCTCTGAAAAAGAGTCTAATATAACTTACCATTATGTATGGTATTCATCAATTTTGAGAAAGCTTTTGAGTTACGAGAAAAAGGGCTTCATGTTAAGATCATGTTTAACAGACACACAAAAGAATATATGTATAGACAGGAATTTCAGTGAACAATAATATACCTGAATACATCTTTCTTGTATTAGAGCTCTGATCATTTACAGTAGCTCAAATTGTAAAATGGATTTATTTCTATCCACTATAATTTTTTACTTATATTTCTTTTGTCAGTGTTTGTTAGCTTTTAAATGTCGAGTATAAGAAGAACATTCCAGCACACGCCAATTAGCTGCATTCTAAAGCTAATTTACAAATAAAAAAATCAAATATTCTTTCCAGCCACAATCAGTCTTACCAACAAAAGAATTATTTTAATTTCATTGTCCGCAACACATTCAGAAACTTAAACTGAAGCCGCCTTGCTAATTTTAATCACAAGGCATCTTTTTTGCTTCACTGATAGACTAACTCAAGCAATCAAGAAGTTTAACAGAAAACAGTTGTGTCTCCTCAGGGAGCTCAGTTGAAGACGAACTCAAATGTGTAGAGAGAAAGAACATCCAACTACTGGTACACCAAAGGACATGCTCACATGAACTTCCTCTTCTTCAAGGGTTGGGGTTTTTAGAGAATATTGATCTTTGACCATGAAGTGTCAGAATACACTCACATCCTCTGCTGGGTAGCTAGAAGTCTCAGTAACTCAACCTCCACAGCAACACAACACTTTTATGCCCAGTTGCAGAGTGACGGCAGTCATGCAGATGGCCCACTTCTTCCACTTACGCCACCAATTTATTCATACTTAGACCTCATGACTACAAAATTATTTTAGTTTCAATTTACTAGTTCACTCTTTCACACTACTAATGAACAAAGCCTTCAGCTTACTTGTCTGGTTTGACAAGATGATAACATGAATGATTTTGCAGGTGAGAGTGTAGCAAACACCTGTCATACGTCCTTGGGCAAACTTTCTACCTGCATCAGCCTCTGAGGTCTGACTGTAATAACTGTTTGTGTTCCAACAGGGTGACTGTCTTGAATGCTTTATTTTTCTCTTCTTTATTCTCCCCACAACTGGCAGCTACTAAAGACTGCTGTCATAAGCCATTTTTTTAACTGCCAGGCTATTCTGAACATCAGGATTCCAAAAAAATGAATTAACACCAAAGATAATTTAAACTTTTGTCATTGATACTAGAATATTATGAAACTAAATTAGAAGTCATTAAAAAAAAAAATCCTTGCCTTTTACTTACTGCCTAAACTAGCCAAACTTACTTCCATGGAAAAAACTTAAAATTTAGAATATTTTAATTAAAACATTACAGACCAAGTCTGTACTGTAAAAAACCAAGAAGTAATGTTTTTTAAATTTTGTGGTAGAGGAAAAAAAAACCACAATATACAAAATCCTGGATGATTCTTTACAAAAGTGGATTAATCTGATAAATACAAAACTGATAATTTTAATTAACCTTCTCAACAGTTTTCAGAGAACTAACAACAATGTACAAAGATACACTTATAATCAAAACTATTACTTTACAAGGAAAAAAAAAAAATCACTAAAACGCACGGAGTTAATATGGCTGGGATCATACACATTACACTATTGGGACAAAGACAAATTCTGCCTCAGATGCAGAGGACACGATGCAACTGCTGTCTGCCACCCTTAAGAGCAGAATCATTACTCTGAAAGTCTCTTTTTTTGGAATCCTTAAGATTCCCAGTAGGAAGTAAAAAGACTGTCAAGCAATGATCAAAAAAGACAAATATAGTGTTACGAATTATCAGAAGGGAATAGAGAACAAAACAAAAAGCATAATTATGCCACTTTAAAAATTCATGTTGCATCTGTATTTCAAATACTACCTGCACTTCTCAAAAAAGGATACAGTAGCACTAAGAGAGATCTGGAAAGGATAAGACAGATACAGTATGAATGAATAGAAGGTATTAAGATATCTAGGTCTAAAAAAGGTAACGGGGGAAATGACAGAAATGTATCAATTATGAATACTCTAAAGATGCTGAATATTTTTAATGACTATTCACTGTTTTTAGAGGAGTGTCAAAACATGATGAGCAACAGCTGTGAACAAAGTACATCCTTTTACAATACATAAAGATATGAAACTCATCTTTCACGTTTCAGATATTAACAGCATAAATGGTTTCAAAAATTATTAGACAAATTCATGGAAGAGACCGATTCACAGAAGAGATCAATAGCTACAGATATCCAACCTTGAGATGAGATGCAAGGAATCCCAGTAAGAAAATGTCCTGTTTAACCTAACTCCTTTGAAACAAACTGTTCTAACACAGACTTCATCCAGTTACATGATGAAGGGTGTCCTGGTTTTGGCTAGGATAGAGTTAATTTTCTGCCTAGTAGTTGGTATAGTGCTGTGGTTTGGATTTAGTATGAGAATAACGTTGATAACACACTGATGTTTTAGTTGTTGCTAAGTAGTGCTTACACTAGTCAAGGACTTTTCAGCTCTGCCAGGTGCACAAGAAGCTGGGAGGGAGCACAGCCAGGACAGCTGACCCAAACTGGCCAACGGGGTATTCCATACCATATGATGTCATGCTCAGTATAGAAACTGGGGGAGGGTGCTGGGGAGTAGCGATTGCTGCTCAGGGACTGGCTGGGCATCGGTCGGCGGGTGGTGAGCAATTGCATCATGCATCACTTGCTTTGTATATTCTACTATTATTATTACTACTATTTTAATTTATTTTATTTCAATTATTAAACTGTCTTTATCTCAACCCATGAGTTTTCTTCACTTTTACTTTCCCAATTCTCTCCCCCATCCCACCAGAGTAGGGGGAGTGAGCGAGCGGCTGCGTGGTGTTTAGTTGCTGGCTGGGGTTAAACCATGACAAGGGCCAACACTAGATCAGCCCTCCTTGTCACTGATGGAGCTAATTCTAGAATCCCCCCAAGCCTCAACACAGAACAGGAGGAGAACTGTTCCCCTACCACTATTCCCTTCCACACCCCATAAATTAGTAGAAGGCAGATGAAAAAAGGTGTTTTATTCTGGAAGGAAAAAAGAGCTACTGTCTGGGTTCCTGGTATAACTGCCTCTATTGGCAGCTACCTCTTTCCTGACTTTTCCTGCACTGAAGTACCCTCGCAGCCACCTAGTTTTCTCCTACAATGTACAGCCAAGCTATTGAACTCCAACATGCTAAGGTGTCAAGAAAGGTTAGGGATGGTGAACGGTAATCATGTATGCCAAAATACCATATGCTGTAATAGCTGGACTTCCCATTCATTGTTTTCCCTTTATTTTCCATCTCTGTTGCCTTACGCACTTTGCTTTCAGTCTTGGCTGAATCCTTCCTTCATCTAATCCTTATGGCAGGAGCTATTGCTTTCTTTAAAACCTTACAATTATTCTTCCTTAAAATCAATGCTGCTCAGGAAGACTTCGTTGCTTCCAGCTCATTAATTTCAACTAGTTTCAAAGTATCTCAGAATTGACTGTGTATTAATACTTACATCCGAGTCACCATCCTTTTACTGTTCATTACCTGTTTTTAAAGGAATTGGTTATGCATACAAAAAATGTTAAATTCTAAGCTTACTACTCCCACAGCACAAAAAAGTGACTTTGGCCCTTGAAAGGATGTTATTTGCTGTAACCAACCACTAAATTCTTCAGATCAGGAATTAGTCCATGACAGCCAAGATTTTTTTTTTTTTTTTTTTAAAGTAAGAAAATCAGCATTTGAGATTCTTATGTGAAATGTAATGGCTTGAGAGTTGCTTTTTGATTTGTTTGGGGGAATGGTGTTTTTTTTTGTTGTGGGTGGTTTTTTTTTTTTCTTTTTTTAATTTACTTGGAACCTCTAGTTATTCTTATCAGGAAATCCTTCTCGTAAGCATTTAAAACAAATAAACAATGGGAAATAGATATAAAGCCAAGTCAAGTACAAAGGATCTGATAGGATTACTCATGCACAAGCCCCAGACACATGTTTGTATTTTTCAGCTCTGTTTACAGCTTCCATGAATCTCTTCTCAACTCAAGTTTCTAGCGCTATACTGGTCCAAAGACCAATGCTCACTCTTTTGGACAAAAATTTGCAGTTTTTTCAAGTTACTTAGTTTAATGAGAACCCTCTTCAGAAACTTTTTACCACTGCATGTAATTCTCCCTCATGACAACATATGCAGCAAGCTAGATCACCATCAAAATTAACAGTTGTCTTAATGTTATCCTTATGGCCTTCTCACAGACATCGTATATATCTACCAGATCTGACACGAAAAAATGAAGAATTCTATTTAAAAGCTGAATAAAAAGTATAGAAAGAACAATATGAAGTAGTGAGTTTGCATCTAAACTAGGTGTTAAATCCCAATTCAGTTCAAATGGACAAAAAATTCGCTTTAAATTCAGGATCAGACAAGAAGTAGCTTTTCTAACAATATAAAATAGTTTGTTTCACTTACTATTTCTTGCATTACCACCACAAAAGCCCTGATAAGAACTATTTTGCTAAGTATTTTGACAGCACGCTTTGTGTGTACGGCATACCTGTATATCTAACTCCTACACCACTTTTTCAATTATGCCTAATACTCCTGAAAGAGAGGTTTATTTGAGTAATCTTCTGGAAATACGGTGTTGGCTTATCTGTGCCAACTTTTTGCATTTTACTCGTGCTGGGGAGATCTATTAAAAATGAGCTCACATCCAGGTGGATCAACATAAAGATCTTGCAGGTTTTAAGAAACTAGCACAGGTAACTTTTATAAAGTATCAGAGACTGCCATACAGTGAAAAGGCACTGGCATATATTGTCATTTAGTGCAGCTAAGACACATCTTTACATCTGGACAGACACCGAATTCCACAGTTTCCCTTTTTTAAAGTGTTCTTAAATACAAAAGCTATTGAAATCTTTGATTTTATCTGTAAAGCTATCCCAATTGGTTCCTGCCATTTTAACTAGAGCTAGGCATTTGGACTGTCATCAGCCATGGCGTATGAAGCTACCAGGGGACCGCCTGACTTCAAATATTTCACTACAGAGCAAGAATTGCTGTGGTACACGTACCCCAATGTTGTACCAAGCGACATACACACAGTACCACACCACAGCACAGGCTATCAAGAGCTTCAGAAAGCTACTGTTACTAGTTCTATCACCTCTGTGCAACATGTTTAAGAAAGTAAAATAAATTACTTGAATAAGAAGGAAGCATATGGAAATGTGGAGTTGATAATCAGACACTTGGTCTGATTATATCTGTTTAAAAAGAGCATAGTATACAGATAGTATAGTTCCTATACATCAACACAGGAATCTGTCCACTATAAGTCTTAATGGATTTGTCCCCGAGCAACATCTTTCAGTTACAAGCTCACTTATTTTAAGGTTAACTAGTCTTCTTTATACCGCTACATTATGTTAGTATTTCTACTTAATTTTTTTGTTTTCTTTTTAAAACTTTACAGGAGAATCTCAGAAATTATTATGATAATCAACAACAGCTCTAGACATCAGAGCCTCTTCTTATATAGAAGTTAGTCACCCCAATCGTAATCCTGAAACAACTTGCAGTCAATTTAATTTCTGATACGGCAGCTCTTCACATCAAATAAATGGAAAATTTAAACAAAGTACATACATTTCCTTCTGATTTTAAAAACCTCACTGTAGTGCTATCACCTCTGACTGACAACAACAACAAAAAAAGAATTTTACCATATGAATTGGACAGTCTTCAGAGGGACAAAAGTGCTGCAAATACTATCAACACCTACACATCACTTATTTTTCAGCTATATTTGAGTTCTGAAAGACTTGAAAGTTTGTAAGATCTGAAAAGTACCATTTTCAAGAAGGGGTAAAAAAATCCTACTGCTCCTTTTATAGTCAAGCCTCTTCTTTGCCCTCCCCCCACACACTTTTTTTATGTTCCCATGTCACCTTTAACAGATTTTATGGAGTTAAAAGACTGATTGCTATCTCACATTTGACTTACAAGGAA